AGCCCGGGCTCGCTGGCCTGCAGCACGTGGTAGGACAGCCAGGCGTTGTGTCCTGAGTCTGCGTCCACGGCCACCACCTTGGTCACCATGTAGCCAGGTTCTGCAGCGCGCGGCACCATATCAAAGAGCGCAGAGCCGTCGGGCCCCAGCGCGGGGTACAGCACCCACGGGGCGTTGTCGTTGCGGTCGCTCACCAACACGCGCAGGCTCACGTTAGTGCTGAGTGCAGGCGAGCCGTGGTCGCGGGCCTGCAGCGTGAGCTCGAAGGCGCGCAGCAGCTCGTAGTCAAAGGCACGTTGAGCGAACACCACCCCGCTCTGCGCGCTCACGGACACATAAGAGGCCAGGGCCAGAGGCTCTAGGTCGCTGGCCACGATGGAGTAGAAGACTTGGCCATTCAACCCCAAGTCCGGGTCAGAGGCACTGACTTGCGCGATGGAGGCTCCAGGAGGATTGTTCTCCGCTACGCTGACCAAATAGGAAGCCTGGTGGAAAACTGGAGCGTTATCGTTGACGTCGCTGATATGTAGGATGACACTTATGCTGGAGGAGAGGGGCGGTTTGCCCCTGTCAATGGCTGTGATGGTGACATTGTACTCCGGGGTCTGCTCTCGGTCTAGGGTTCCATCTGTTACCAACTTATATGAATTTTTGGACGAAGAGATAATCTTAAAAGGGATTTCACCTTCTAATCGACAATTAACCTCCCCATTTTCCTCAGAATCTCGGTCATATATTTTGATCAAAGCAATTAGTGTTCCAGGCACCGCATTTTCCAGAATCATTTCAAGTAGAGAATGGAATGTAACTTCTGGGCTATTGTCATTTTCATCTTGAATGTTAACTTCAACTGTACATTGTGCAACCAGTCCTCCTCCATCCCTTGCTTCTACCACCATAGAATATTCCTTGATTTCTTCAAAATCCAGTTTCTTTTGAGTTGTAATTTCCCCGCTCTTTGAATTCAGACCAAAGATTTGCCCGGTTCTGTAGAAGGAATAAGTAATTTCTGAGTTGACGCCCTCGTCTTGGTCGGTGGCTGACACTTGCAGCACAGTGGTGCCTGGTGGCACGTTTTCCGGAAGGCTGACTCTGTACACGTCCTGATTGAATACAGGGGGATTATCATTGGCGTCAGTTACCTGGATCCGGAGCTCAGTGGTGCCGCTTAGGGGTGGATCTCCACCGTCCAGGGCAGTCAGGACTAAACGATGGTAACTCTGTTGTTCCCGGTCTAAGGTTTTCTCCAATGCCAGTTCCGGATATTTACTACCATCTTGTTTCTCCTTAATTATTAATGAGAAACTTGGGTTAAGAGAGAGTTTATACTTCTGTAGAGAGTTTAAGCCAATATCTGCATCTTCTGCTACTTCTAATATAAATCGTGTGCCAGGCTGTGCAGACTCGCTTATTTGCAGCTCAAAGGAATTTTGCGTGAATTTTGGCGTGTGGTCATTAATGTCCTCGATCTCCACATGCACGTGATAAAAGTTCAGTGGATTTTCAGCAACAGCCTCAAATTCCAGAGCACAAGTTGGATTCTTCCCGCAGATCTCCTCCCTGTCTAGCCTGCTGCTCACAAGCAAGTCCCCGCTCTCTGCGCTCACCGTGAAGTAAGGCTTCTCCGAACTGACGCGCAGTTTTCGAGTCGGTAACTCCTGGACGCTGAACCCCAGGTCCTTGGCGAGGTTCCCCACTACGGAGCCCGTGGGCATTTCCTCGGGAATCCTGTAGCGAATCTGCTCACCGAGAGCCGGGCAGAACAAAGGCAGCAGGAAGAGAAAGAGCCCAGGTCGCCTCTCAGCCCGGCCTCGCTCCCCGGCGCAGCTCCCCATCCCTCTTGCTCTCCTCAGCTTGCTCACCAGCCTGGAGACGCCGGGTTACAAATAACCTCTGTATTGCAGATTTTCGGATCTCCGAAAGGCCTTTAGTTCCAGTTCCAGTTCAGGAAAAGATTCTTCTTTTTCCGAGGAGGAAGTGGTGTAAAGGCTGGTGCTGGTGAGTCTGAGCTGGGGCTGCCCCGGAAAGTGCGCTGCGGCTGCGCGAGGAGATCTGGAGCGCCAGGCTCTCCACTTTGGCCAACAGCGGCGCCCAGAGTCAGCACTAGGAAACTACAGCCTCTGCTGCTTCAGTTTAACCAGTGCAGTAATTGTGTTTGTGTGCCTAACTTAACAAGCAAAGCTTTTACCTTCATACATTTAATAACAAATTATAACACCCTCTTTAGGGTATCTTTCTACTTTTTCCAAATTGTTAGAATTATCGCATAGAGTTTTTACACAAATCTGCATACATTCTCTCACCATTCTGCAAACATACCTTGAACTAGCAAGAGCTAAGTACTGCCCTTGTCACTGGCAACAAAATAATGAATAAGATACAGGTCTTGCTGTCAGAGAGTTCGTACTATGCTGATTTCAAAAAACCATTTTTCTTTATTAGCTATATGTGGAAACAATTTTATCATTCTTCTGTTCATTTCTATAATTTCCGCCACTCAATATTTCTACTGTTTTACATTACACATATTAGGGAAATCTATACTATTTAAAATTATTTTGTAAAGTCATGGCAATTTTGTACCAATCCTCAAACACCTCCTCTTCCTGACAATATTAATATCTTTTAAAAAATAATGTATCTTTACTCTTCTTCTTCAGAAAATATTCCTTCAAGTATATTGCCCATATGATGTAGCCAAGAAATGATATACACTACTATGTTGCTCTTCTTCATGTCCCAAAATAATTGTCTTATGTCATATCTTTTATAGTACATAAATTCATTCATTTTTTTTTTTTAAAGACGGGGTTTCACCATGTTGGTCAGGCTGGTCTTGAACTCCTGACCTCAGGTGATCTTCCTGCTTTGACCTCCAAAGTGCTTGGGTTACAGGCGTGAGCCACCACACCCAGCCCATAAATTCATTCTTAAGAGTTATTGGGGAAATGCTTATCTATTCTGCAATACAAGGTACAAAGGGATATTCTAGTGGACTGCATTATTACCCTATCTATATACCATCATTTTACTGAAGAAATAACTTTGGAATTGGATAAATTAAGCTCATGGTTTATTTACATAAATTTGTAGAATATGGTGACATTGGTCTACCTTATTTAGTCCATTTGTCAGATGAATAAAAACAACTAGCCAACATTTTTAGGGAGAGTAAAAATTTTCTTTCCTACCAGGGCAACTTTCATCACAGTTTTTAAAATTGCATAGTGCCAATGATATATTGTCCTCTCAAATGTGCATCCAAATGGTACACAGACTATGAGGTTAACTCCCATTCCACTGAATATGTACCAAACAGTAGAACACTACACAATACTTAGGAAATATCCCTTTCATTAATAACAAAAATGTATTGGGTCATCTTCTTCTACCTTATAATAATTCAGGGATTAGCTTTATTCAAATGCTACAAAAAGGAATGCAGGAATACAGGAATGAGCAGCATAGACTGAGTTACTACTTTTTTTTTTTTTTTTGAGACGAAGTTTCGCTCTTGTTCCGCAGACTGGAGTGCAATGGCGCGATCTCGGCTCACCGCAACCTCCGCCTCCTGGGTTCAGGCAATTCTCCTGCCTCAGCCTCCTGAGTAGCTGGGATTACAGGCATGCGCCACCATGACCAGCTAATTTTTGTATTTTTAGTAGAGACGGGGTTTCACCGTGTTGACCAGGATGGTCTCGATCTCTCGACCTCGTGATCCACCCGCCTCGGCCTCCCAAAGTGCTGGGATTACAGGCGTGAGCCACCGCGCCCGGCCTACTTTTTTTTTTTTGAGACAGAGTCTCACTCTGTCACCAGGCTGGAATGCAGTGGCGTGTTCTTGGCTCACTGCAACCTCCAACTCACTGGTTCAAGTGATTCTCCTGCCTCAGCCTCCCAAGTAGCTGGGATTACAGGCATGTGCCACCAGGCACAGCTAAGTTTTGTATTTTTAGTAGAGACAGGGTTTTACCATGTTGGCCAGGATGGTCTTGATCTCCTGACCTCGTGATCCGCCTACCTCTGCCTCACAAAGTGATGGGATTACTGGCGTGAGCCACTGCATCTGGCTCCGAGTTATTACTATTAATATTAGTTTTTTAAGAGGCAGGGTCTGGTTTTGTCACCTAGGCTGGAGTGTACTGACATGATCATAGCTCACTGCAGTTTCAAACTCCTGGGCTCAAGTGGTCTTCCTGCTCAGCCTTCCAAAGTGCTGGGATTTCAGACATAAGCCACAGTGTCCAGCCAAGACTGAATAATTTGAATCGATCAGCTTAGTTAGAACGTGTGTACCTGAAACGTTGGTTCGTAAAATCAACATTTTCACCATTTCACATTGATGCACAACCAAACCAGCTCATTGGAATTTAACTGAAATACATTTTTACGTATTTTATGAAAGTCACTTTCAACAGTTTAAAACCACATTTTAATTCAGATCTAATGTTTCGCTTTTGTTTTGTGTTTGGTGGAACAATGGACATTCTAGGCTTTTAGATTTTATGTCTCCATGGGCATGGAGCCCAGGTAACCATTGTCACACATACTTAACATTTAGTAACCAGTCTTATCTCCCACCAAGATCCATCTTTAAAGTTTGTTCATGCTTTGAAAGATGGTAAGAAATATTAAAGTTTTGAAGGGCACTGGTACAGAAACAGGGCTCAGAAAAGAGGTTTAAAATGAAGAAATCTACAAGAGCATAGTTATAGGTTCAAATGCTAAACATAACTAAAAATTCTGAGATACGTTTTACTTTTACTAAGCTAATACAAGGCTTTAGATTTCTTGATAATTTTCTGAAGTTCTAATTTAAGATACACACACACACACATGCACACACGAACAACAGCAAAATTACCAGTATGGATGAGTAGGTACTTCTTAAGTGAATGAGTGATAATAGAAATAAAATACTGGAAGACTTAAAATTGTTGAACAATCTTTTCCAAGCTGTTCAAAAGCAAATTAAACAACAACCTATGACTATTAGAGTTCAGCGTTATAGCTGAACCCCACCAAAATAACCCAAAACTCTGTGATATGCCTTAAAAATTATTTTCAACTATCTTCACAATGTTTTTCAAAACACATAATTTATGCCAAATAAAATTCATCTGGAAATTAAAAGCAAGCAAAAAACTAAACTCACCTGACCATGATCAGCTTCATTCTTACATTCATGAAAATTTATGGATGTTAATAAAGAATCATTTTTCTCACAGCTCTCCTGACTGATGAGAGTGTCTGCATAGTTGGGCTGGGGAAAGATCAGGTGACTCTTCCGCGAGTCTGTGGTGAGGGAGACTTCGTGGGAATAGGTCTGCAGAAAAGCCTGTACCTCCTCAACACCCACTAAATGTGAGGCAGGCACGCCTGCCAATCTGCCACCGGAATCCTGGAGCAGGCATGACTTGTGCCAGCGCCTCAGCCTGAGCCCCAGAAGCACAACAACAAATGCGAGGAAGACACAGGAGACGGCAGCCACCGCCACCACGAGATAGAGTGTGAGGCCCGAATCGTCCGGCTCCACCGAAGGCTTCAGATTGCCCAGCTCGGCCAGGACTTCGGGGATGCTGTCGGCCACGGCCACGGTGAGTGTGACGGTGGCCGAGAGAGGGGGCTGGCCGTGGTCCTGGACGGCCAC